CCCGTGCGCCGGCCCCTCTCGCTGCTTTTCCCTTTTCAACTCTGACCAAGCCGGGGAGCTGCGCTCCTAGCCCTGAAAGCACCAGGTTCCAAAGTCATTTAGGCTGGGTTGGTTTCCTCCGGACGCGCGCCCTCTCGCCCCAGTGGCTGGAGACTGCTTGGTGCCTATTCCCCACGTCCCCCGGAGTTGTTTCCCACCCCCTTCCTACGTCGCTGGCCCGTCCTCTTTGCATCACCGCTACCAGGGGTCGAACTGGGACACCCGCCGATTCTTCCGCATAAGAGACGGGACCGTGACGCTTTCTCGCTCTTCTCTTCCCAAAACTTGGAGAACTGGGCATGCCATGCCTTTTCTGGTTCAGCACCGTTTTCTCAAGCCTCTCTCACTAGTCTCTTTAACTCGGCATTTGACGTCAACAGGCACGGTAAACCTCGCCCGCAGAACTCTCCCCTCCACGTACCCGACCTGGAGCTGGCTCTCTAGCCCACCTCCCCTAGTGGGGTTTCCCTCCTCTCGGTGAGCTCATCCCTGAGCAGCTAGTCTAGTTCATTTTATTCTCAGAGCAGTTTTGCCCCAAGAATGACTTCTTTCCCAGTTTCTCTCCTCCCCACTACCCGCCATAGGGGAACTTAAAGGGAGTTCTGTTCCCACGAACGCGTTTGATGTTACCTGGCTATTTGTTACCCGGCTCAGGTCTGCGGGCTAGAAGGGCACTCGCTGACCGGATCCACTGCAGCCCCAGGCTGCGGGGCATGTATCTTCTAACGCGCAGGGAAAAAGAACGTCGCCGTGGTTTTCAGTTTCCCAGTGGGCCTGGGGACTAAGGGAGTTTTCTCTAAACCGGATTGCTGGGTTTTCTACGGCAAAAGCCTAATTCCCACGGCGAGAATTTCGAGAAGTGGGCCGCAGGAGTCCGTGGGGACTTCGTTCAGTTACTACTGAGTCGTGGAGACATTTCTTTGGGCAGACAAGGAGCAGCTGCCGGACAGCGGCCACCCAGGCAGGGCTGTCCAGGGAACAGCAGCGAAGAGTCACCAGGCTCCCGAGCTCAGGGTGAAAGAGGGAATCTCGGGGAGGGAACAGGCGCTGGAAAAGAAGAGAGAAAACACAACTTACCTGTCACTAGGTACTCCGGACAACTAGAACTTAGCTGGGGGCCCAGCGAGGCAGAAATAGTCCCTCCGTAAACTTTCAACTTTGGTGAAGTTATGCTTCAGAGGACAGCAAGGGGGAGCTGTTTTCAGGCTATTTCACAAGGGAAAAAAGAAACACGGAAAGCTTATGTACTGTGTAAATACATGGACATGGCTTTGTTGATCAGGCTTGTTGTGGCTCTGGAATAAATTTGATTGTCTCAGAAAAAAATCACCGATTGTGAAATATCTGGAAAAAAAAAGAAAAAAAGAAAATCATAGCTTTTGTACTCTGTGATCATTCCATTTTGCTATCCAGTTCATGTATGCAGAGACTCCAAGGTTGTCATATTAAGAGTGCTGGACTTGAAAGCAGCAGTATTGCTTTCATGTGGTTTGTAGCCACAGTCTTAAAAAAGGGAATAAAATTACCTGTTTTTCATAACTTACATCCTTAGGGGGATCAAATAAGACGTTCTGCGAGGGGAACTGCTCTAAGGAAAGGAAGCTGTGTTGCCTTGGCTCATTTTCTGCAAGATACCTAGGTGGTGACTGATTTAAATGGCTCAGGGATGATAGTGAGTGCAAAGTTTCCAAACTACGCGAATGGAAAACTCTTGGAGCAATTAAATCATAGTCACTGACTAGCTGTTGGCCATGCACATGAACGCTTTTAGATTTCCTCTGGGGGAGAAGCCTTTAGGTTTACTTAGGGAAAGCAATTTGATCCAAAGTTTCTTTGGGTGTTTTTATTCCAGAGAGATGATTTCTTCTCAGATCACTCATCTGGGTCAGGAAATCTGATCCAATAATTAAACTATATCTAAAAATCCAATTTATAAAATTAACCTGTATATCAGTGAGTACAGCTGGAAGACATTATTCCATGCAATAGTATATCCCCCTTACATATGGAACACATATATGCCCAATACATATGTATTTGTGTATATATGTGCATGTGTGTGTGTGCATGTATATGTGTATGTCATTGTACTGGGTGCCGTGGGATCTAGAAAGCAGGACAAAAAATGTCCAATGCAGATTTTAGAACCAGTCCCCCTTAACTCATGTAGTTAAAAAAATGGTCTGTCTTAATATTACTGGTTCCATATTCCAAGGAAAGCAGGACAATTGAAATACAGACTCACTATTTATGGACTTTGCCAGAGTTGCTATAAAAGTTACCCTCTTGAAGGAACTATAGACTTAAAATGTGAAAAGAACACATTCAATACTTTCTGCAGCATCTTTTTTTTTCCAACTGAATTTTTAAAATTTCCATGTCTTTATCTTTATTTTTTATTTCAATTTCTTTTATACATTCAATCACATTATTTAGCTTGCAAAGTGAATATTTCAACATGTGTACGTTTCTCACCAGTCCAGTTGACAATACTATAAAGTTATCTTCAACAGATAATAATCCATTTCTTTGTCTCATAAATGCCTTGCCTCTCTATTTTTCTCCTTAATATTTTTTTTTCCCCATGAACAAGAGAGAGATAAGGGAGTAAGAGACAGACAGACTGCACCTTCAACAGAGTCCGGAGGCTGTGCTCCTCACCCAACTTCGGCCAGCCCCAGATCATGGCCAGGTGTGCCTGGTGTGCACAGGGAGACCTCTGGACATGAATCCAGAACCTTTCATGCAGTCAGCCTTGGAGAGTGCCGCATTTTACTGTGGCGCGACCATCATGGCCCCTTTTGTGGCATCTTGTGCTTTTTTTTTTTTTTTTTAAGAAAATTTACATTAGCTCTGACTCTTTTTATTAAGGCTTACGTTTCCCCTCTTATTCATCATGGTTTTCAGCTAACATTTTTGGGAGGATGAGATAATGTAAAGAAACAAAGGGAAGCGTTGCATACATATCCTGGATAATTGTTCTCTTTCATTTGCCATCTTTCTGTCTCCCATTTTGCAGTTCCAGATTCTTTTTTTTTTTTTTTAGGTGATGAAAATTTTATTTCATTTTATTCCGAGAAGTGTTTCCTTTCATGGAAGCAGCTACCTTTTTATTTATTAGCTGTTTGACTTTGTTTTCCTCCTCAGGCCTTAAAATTCTTCATCTGTAAAATCTTGCTGATGACACACAATGCAGATGCAAGGATTATGCAAATGACTGTTATGTTTCTGACATTCCATGCGAGTTCAAAACATTAATTCCCTCTTTTTTTCCCAAATATATAATCCCTCATATTATCTGCTATTTTAGCACTATAGTTTTTCCTTCAATTAAAGTAGCATATCACCAACTTTATTATGTACGATGAAAGATTTGATAGATTTTCTATGACAAAAGTGTTCCAAGGTCAAACACACTGGAGAAGTGCTGTGTATACATTTCCTCTTCTGGCAATTCGTGTAAAAGGCTCTGAGAAGCCTCAGGAAACAAAGTTGCTTGACTTTGTTTATTGATGTTTCTCAAAGTATTTAACCATGGAAAACCCTTATCCTTTTACTTTCCCTATGGAACAATGATGGCCATGTCACAGGATAAGAATACAGCGTGGGTAACACTAAATAAAGGTACTTGGAATCCAGATGCTTGAGGACCATCATTAAATAGTCGAGACGTTAGAGGTTCAAGTTAAGTTTAACCTACTCTCCTAGGGACAGAAAGGCCTGATGTAAATAGATTATATTTAGTTTATTATATTTTACACATCCATAGATGCTACTCAATATATCCTATTTCACCTTTTTAAGTGATCATTTTTTTCTTCCCCATTCTTACTGAGAAGGAAGGAATGAGGTATTCTGCAACATTCATTTTGCTTTTATAGCCCATGATGACTCCTTTCCTACGTTTCAGGCCCGTATCTGATATTCACATCATTACTTCTAGCAAATCCAGACATATTTGTGGTACTCTATGCTAACTCTTGAGTTGGCAACAAAGAAGAATGTAATTATTACTAATATTTATTAAGTATTTTGCATGTGCCAGGCACTGTTAGAAATGCTTGACAAGTATTACGTCACCTAACCCTCCCAATGATCCTATGAGATGTGCTATTATTATTTTATTTTACAGTTGAGGAAACAGAGGCACAGAGAGAATAAACAACTAGCCTCAGGTGACACAGCTGGTCAGTGACAGAATCAGGATTTGAGTAGAAGCAATTGACTTCAGCAGACTTTACAATCTTAACCATTACACAGGGCTGCCACCAGGGAGCCCCAACTCCTAGACCTTACAGATTCGGTTGACTGGCCATATGATTGGTTATTTGATGTGTCAATATACGATATCTCCTCCTTTAAGATTAGGATATCCTGTAGAATCTGCCTTGGTTATTACATTTCTTTGGTAAGCCAAGTACAAGGCAATAATAGTAGGAAAAGTAATAATAATAATGATACATAAATAAATACCAACACTTATTAAAGTTATATCAAGAGGTAATTGTTTAAAATTCACGATTTTATTTAATATTTAAATTACACGGTGTAAAGGGATATAAATATAATTATTATTATCCAGATTTACAGAGTAATAAAACAAGGGTTTCAGAGATTCAAAAATTGCAAGACTCCAAGTGGCCCAGCTAGGAATCAGATAGGCTCATTTGAACTAAAAGCTTGGGCTCTAAATTCTATGCCCTAATG